GACTGGAATGAAGGTGTTACAGTAGTAAGCAGTTTGGACCAGTGTTAGGAGAAGAGCCACAAGAACAAGACCGATTATCTCTCCAGTTTATTCCAATAGGGACTCAAATTGATTTTTAAAAAAAGTAATTCTAGGGCCTCCCTGGTGGCGCAGTGGTTGAGCACTGGGTTGCGAAGCTGCCCGCGGCCTCCACGGCGCCGGTTCGATCCCCGGCTGCTCCCCGGCCACCGGAGGAGGGTACCACAAGGCACGCAGACCTCTCCTGCCGCCCGCTGCTCCCCTCAGCAGTGTGCTTCGGTCCTTCTGCCTGCTCTGTTCCCCGCTCTGGCTCTGGTGAATTCTCTCACCCTCCCGTACTTCTGACTGTACCCAGTGCATGTATAAACAAAACAAACAAACAAACAAACAAACAAATAAATAAATAAAACATGCCTCCTTAAAAAAAAAAAAGTAATCCTAGATATTATTACTACAAGTAAAGCTAAGCCCTGCCTTCAAGGAATTTCAAGATAAATGTAGAAAGATAATGTCACTAATGCAATATGTATCCCATGTACATGTAATATTTAAATATGTAACGTAGTATATAAATAATATATAACATAAAAGAAGTCTGACACGAACTAAACTGTGAAATCTTTGATCTGACATGGGAAAGTTAAGCTTAGTAAAATAGGGATCTAAAGAGGTTTCAAAAAATTAGATATATGACAAAACATAAGCAATTACTTGAACAATTATACACAACAAATTCAATAAACTTGAAGTTGGCAAATTACTAGAGCAATATAGTTTATCAAAATCAAACCAGAAAGAAACTGAAGAGTTGAATAAACCAATTACAAGGATGGAAATTGAAGCAGCAATTAAAAAAAAAGAGTCCCCCCCCCAAACAAAGTCCAGGACCAACAAGTTTACAAATGAATTCGGTCAACTCTATGAAGATGAACTTATGCCCATCTTGTTTAAATTATTTCTAAACATCCATCAAGAATGAATGCTCCCATGGGCCTCCTTGGTGGCGCAGCAGTTGAGCGCTGGGTTGCGAAGCTGCCCGCAGCCTCTGCAGCGCAGGTTCGATCCCTGGCCACCGGCGAGGGTCCCACATGGCACACAGACCTCTCCTGCCGCCCGCTGCTTCCCTCAGCATTGTGTTTCATCACTCTGCCTGTTCTGCTCCCTGCTCTGGCTCTGGTGAATTCTCTCACCCTCCAGCGCTTCTGACTGTACCCAGTGCTTGTATAAATAAATAAATAAATAAATAAATAAATAAATAAATAAATAAATCTTTAAAAAAAAAAGAATGAATGGTCCCTAACACATTTTATGATGCCAACATTACCTAATACAAAACCAAATAAAAAGAGCAGAAGAAAAGAAAATTTTGGGGTAATATCCCTGATGAACAGTGATGCAAAAATCTTCAACAAATTACTAGAAAATCAAATTGAACAATAGATTATAGGAATTATACATCATGATAAAGTAGGATTTATCCCAGAGATGTAAGGATATAAGTCAATTAATGTAAAATATTATATTCACAAAGGTAAAAATAAAAAGCAAATAATATCAATAGATGCAGATAAAACAGGTGATAAGAGTCAGCACGCATTTATGATAAAAACTCTAAACAAGATGGGACTATATGGAACCCACCTCAATATAATAAAGGCCTCTTATTACAAACCAGCAGTCAATAGAATACTTCACGGTAAAAACTTAACACTTTCCCTTTAAGATCAGGACCAAAACAAAAGAGTCCATCCTCACCACTTCTGTTTCACATAATATTAGAGGTTGTAGCAAAAGCAATCAGACAACAACAGGAAATAAAATGAATCCATGTCAGAAAGAAGTGAAACTATGGCAGCTGTGACCCATATCCAGCACTATTTGCTGATGACATGATATTATATGTAGAAAGCCCTAAAGACTTGACCAAAAAATCTATTAGAAACAATAATTGGTACAGCAAAATGGCAGGTTACAAAATCAACACATGAAAAATCATTGCATTTTTATACACAAACGAAAAACTAGAAGAAAAAGAAATTAAGAAAATGATTTTACTCACTATTGTTTCAAAAAGAATCAAATATCTCAGAATTAACCTAACCAAGGAGATGAAGAACCAATAAGATGAGAGCCACAAGATGTTATTAAAGGATTTACATCATGACATAAGGACTTGGGAAAATATGTCATATTCATGGATGGGGAGAATCAACACAATCAAAATGACCATCTAAAGCAATATATAAGTTTAACATAATTCCTACTAAAATACCAACAATATTATTCAAATAAATTGAACAAAAACAATGAAATTTATACAGAATCACAAAAGGTCCCAAACAGCAAAAGTAATCCTGAGAAAAAATGAGAGAAACAGACATGATATTACCTGACTTTAAGTATAATAAAGCAACAGTACTAAAAACAGCATGGTATTTGCATAAAAATAGACATATGGATCACTTTAACAGAGTCAAAAGCTCAGAAATAAATCTTTCTGTACTTTTATCAAGAAAATAGCTTTTCTTCCACATTTACGATATATACAGTTTGGGGACTTAAATGATAGAAAACTCTCTTTCAAACCCTTGGGGCAGCTACAAAAAGAAACTCAGCGTGGGCCACTGCTGACAATTGTCCAACTGCATGGCTGTTGTCTCAAAAGAGAAGACGTCTTTGGGCTTCGGTTCTTCTTGGACACCAAACTAAAAACAGGTTTAAGTTCTATTAAAAATTCTCCCCAACCATTTTGCACAGAGAAAAGTCCTCTGTGTCAACAGTTTGAACATGTCCGGATTTCTCAAGCCAGGAGCAAAAGTTTTAGTGATGGAAAATTAGAGGTTATGACAACAGCTTTGTCTTCCTGCTGGACGCCTAGTCTCTTTGTCATGCTCCCAATTCTTTGCCCCCATTTCCATTATCATTCATTCTTCCCCAAATCCGCCTCATCCATTTAACCTACATTCCCAGAATACCTACGTCATTAAGGATGTTGCCATTGAAAGAAAAGACAAGTATCCCACTTTTGTCCTCCTAGCCCGGGCATCTTGCCATTGTGTGTCAGAGGTGAGGGGATGGAGGTGGGGCGATCCCCTACAGAATTCAGGGGAGGAAGGACCGAGAGGCAGGCAGGAGCCTCTGAGCTTGGCTGTCCCTGTGTATCAGGGTAGTAAAGGCCCACAAGAACAGCAGAGCAGCTTAACAGCCAGCCCTTCCCAGTTCGCCTACATAAATTGCCACATCTCAGTGCTTTCGGGGCCAGAACTTGCCCTTTATTAATCCTGTTACCAAGACTCAATCCCGTTAGAGCAAGAGCTAAATCGGCCCCCTCAGTCTCCCCAGTTTTGACACAATAGAATTCTCAGAAGCAAAAGCTCCTCAGGGAAAGAGCAATAAATCAGAGTACAGCTCCTCCCCGAGAATCTTCCCCAGCAAATGTGTTTTCCAGGCAAATAGGAGCAGGCGGCAAAAAACAAGTGAGCTCAGGTTTCCCTGTGATATGATTACTACCTTGGGGGAGGGAGAGGAGAGTGGATGGAGAGAAAATTTGACCCTGTCTTGGATTAAAAAAAAAAAAAACAAAAAAAAGCTGGCATTTTGGCAGTCCATCAACAAGTGATTTCTGAATGTCAAGTGCATGGTAGAACCCAGCCAGAAACAGAGACCTCCGGTGCCTTGTGATAAGCCACTGTTTCAGTCGCTCCACTTTTCAATAGTGTCAGGTGAACAGAGCCTCTGCTGCAACCTTAGAACAGAGAGAACATGGGCTCCAAAGCAACCGAACACCCCGCTCACCAGGGTGCCCCACCACCCTGCTGGGGGAGGAGGGGACCCTGCTCTCTTCTCTTTAAAGAAAGATCTTGCTACTTTGCCCTTTTTCTTAACCTTTCCTTTTCTGCTGTGTGCTCCAGTCAGGTTTATCAGCCAGTGGGTGAAGTTGGAGCAGCTCACACCACACCTTTGCCTGGGCAATTGCACCCTTGGGAGTTTCCGAGGGTGAACACTTGACTCCTGCATCATCGGAGCACTGGCTTGGGAGTCCAACCAACTGCACCTCTCTGCACCTGAGTCATCACGTCTGTAAACAGAGATCTTTATACCTGCCCTTCAGTGTCTTATTAGGGATAAATGACCTAATAAATAAAATACAGGAGGGTCTAGCACACACAAAAAACTTGAATAGCAGACACTGAATGCAGGTGTGCAAAAACATGGATTGCATTTTACCTGGAAGATTTCTTCAATGCTGTGACCTCTCCTGTCAATTCCTCTTGTTCATTTGATCCACTGATCTGCCAGAATTCAGCCTAAATCTGTCTCTAGAAAAACCTTGCACAACTTTGTAGTGCTTCTCATTCTGTGTTACCAAAGTAAGTTGAACATTTATACTGTGGCAAGTCCTGTGCTATTTTTACTTTGGTAACATTTCCTTGTCTGTCAGTCCTATCCTGCCAGACCCTGAACTCTGGGAAGGCAAAGGAGAGTGTTCAATATGATGGTTACAAACACAGCCTCTGCCAAAAACCATTCCCTTGTTCCTAGTTCACTGTGTTCCTCAGCATTCTGTCTCCAAGAGTGATAATAGTAGTACTCACCTCCCAAGTCTGGCTTAAAAGCATGCCAAGCATCACAGAAGCGCTAGCTTTTATTATTCTCTTCTGTGGCCCCAGAACCTGCGCAATAGCAGACACTTAAGGGATGGACTTTGGAGGAGCCATAAAATCACTGAAAGTTACTAAGAAAAGTATTCCATTCATTTCATACTGGGACCGCACATCATACAGTGGTTCAAGAGCAGCTAGGTAGTAACCCAAAAGAATTAAAGAGGCTCCTGAGGAAATATTTGTTCAGATTTGCTCACAGGACATTATTCACAAGAGTCAAATCATGGAAGAGACCTAAGTATTCACAATGGATGGATGGATCAAGAAAATGTGGCATATATATAGAACAGATTATTTTCCAGTCTTTTTTTTTTTTCACGTCAGAAGGGTAATGTGCCAACATCGTAACAAGATTTAAGGGAGGCACATCTCACATCGCGTGAACACCCAATCATCATGCTTATGAACCAGAAAAGGATCTATTTTCCAGTCTTTATGAAGAAAACCCTGTCATATGAAGACTTCATGCTAAGTGAAATATGCCAGTCACAAAAGGACACATACTGCTTGCTTTCACTTATCTTCTGTATGACAACTTGCACAAAACTACAAGACTGTACCCCACATTAAAATGGTTGAGGGTAAATCTGTGTTATATGCAAGCCCAGCACCCCAAGCCTGTTTCTTTCCAGTCCCACCTGTGAGGTAAGTGCTTGTCTGCATGGGGCAGTCAGTTATTAGTCAAAGCTGACACGGAGGTGCCTTCTTTACAACATGCACATAGTCTCTATGCCTGCTTAAAGGTTCATTCTTTTTTTCTTGCTGGGCACATGCTGACATCACCCCAGAGTCCTGATGTTTTTAAGAGGGAAAAATTATATCAAGTGAATGATGCCTGAGTGTTCAGGTTTTACTTTCTCTCTACACAAGAAATAGCTTGCTTTCCAAACAAGTCTTCTGCTGGAGAACGTGCTTTATTTTCCCACATAGCTTATCTCCACTGGTATTACATAAATAATATATTGAGTCATTGGTCTATTGCCCGCTAGTAGAATATGATTCCAAGACAGCATAAACTTGGCTTTATTCACTTTCCTATCCCCAATATCTAAAAAAACCCCTACCACATAGTAGATGCTCAATAAACATTTATTGAATGAATGAATGAGTACTATGTTAGGAAAGAGACAAGAAAAAAATAGATTGTCCTTAGTTTAGCCATCAAGTTTAAGGCACTCAAGTTGAACAAAAAATTGTTTTGGGAGGATCCCTTAATTTTTTGGCATCCTATTACCCCCTATAGTTTGAGGGTGCTGGCCTCCAGGTCACTCTGTAACACAATAAATATTACTTTAATTAATATTTTTTTTAGATATGCCAAAGATACAGTGAAATATATAGATTATTATCAGTTAGATGATTCCAGAAATTGAACTTGGTGACAAGAACTCATTAAACATAGGAGGTATGAGAGGTAAATCACTCAGGTGGCCAAATAGTCATCGTTGGGTTATTTCAATGAACTCTCAGATACCGTCACTTGCATCTGGGTTCAGGAGCAAAAAAAGAGAGCAGTGTCTGCAACACGTAAGTTTAGAGCATTAGCCAAGTGTTTCTTTAGCCAACTGTCAAAGACTGAGTTCTCATCCTAAGTTAAAACTCTGCCTTTTTAATGTTTCTTTTCAAAGCTAACCAAATTTTCTATCAAAGATGTCTACTAGATTTGTAAGGCTTAGATTCCTGGGATTGCAGTGCCCTTCTTCATGTGTCTTGATGCTTTCTTTACAGGGTAGGTAATTAAAACTAGGCACACTTTCTTCATCCTGACCTGTGCAGACCCTGTGCTGATAACCATCAAGAGACTACCATTCACATCAAGGCTGGGTTCCTTGGAATCAGCATTTCCATCTACAGCAGCTAATATCATCCTCCAGTTGATCCAGAGAAAATTATTTTTACACGCTTTGCTTGGGTTTTTCTTATGAAATACTGGGTCAGAGCCTTTCCAGAATGATCACTGGAGAAGATACAGAAGCTTTGAAGAGAGAAGACACCAATAGCAATTTTTCCTCTTCATTTTTTTTTCTTGAAACAATCCCAGGGAGGAGGTTTTGGGGGAGCCTTGGTTGGGTTTATGATCCCTTGCATCAACAAGCAGCAATCCAAACTGTCAGAAGCTGACTTTGCACAGTGAAGTTTCAAAACCAGAAACTGAAATAGTTGCCAACAAGAACCTACTGACAACAAGATTTCATGGCATTGTTGTGTAATCCAGCCTCTCCTTCACCTTCCCTCCCAAAGATCCCCTTCCATGGGGAGAGATCATTTCCCTTGAGCTTCCCCAAGCAAGCGCCACATGAGTGCGTCTGCAGTTTATACAGCTCTTCAGTCAAATTGGATGTGGCAGGAAAAGACTTTGGAGGGATCAGAACAGGAGACAAGGTCTGAGACTGTGCACTCTCTCCCAACCTCACTTCTTATCAGGGAGGTCTGAGGAGAGTTCTGGCTCCAGGGACTATCATAAAGGGGAAACAATCCAAATCAAAAGTAAAATCAGGGCCTCCCTGGTAATGTGAGGGGTCAAGAGGAAGCACTGTGAAGCTATCCGCAGCCTCTGCAGCACGAATTCGATCCTGGCTAGGGAGGTGACCCCCATGGTGCAGCAGATCTCCCCTGACTCCGCTCAGCAGTGTATTTCAGTCAATCCGCCTGTTCTGCCCCCTGCTCTGTTTCTGCTGACTCCTTCACATCCCACACCTCTGGCCTGTACCCCAGTTCTTGTATGCATAAATAAATAAATCTTTAAAAAAAAGTAAAATCAATCTCAGTATTCAATAAAGTAAATAAAGATTGGAGGAAGCTTCCAACAGATATGAGTGCATATAGGAAAAAGATTTTGTCTCCCTAGAGAGATTGGGCAGACCCATTTAAGGACAGTGAATTTAATGCTAATTATAATAATGGTAAGACTAAAAACCATGACTACTTATTAAATAAAAACTATGGAGAGTTATTTCATACCTTAACTCATGAGGGCACAATGTAATGATGCAGCTTAGAGAAATTAATCATTTGAGCATGGTCATTCAGTTGCAAAGAAAAGCTAGGACTTCAGCTCAGGTCCAGCTGTATCCCATGTAACTATCTTGGTACCTGGGCAGGGCTGCAGTCCTGGGAGGTAACATTGTTTTATTCAGAAGTATAGGTTCACACCTCTTCAGATGTATGTCATGGCACTACACCCACAGCCACAGAGCCCATCATCCTGCAGCACAGTCCATTGGGTCCATTCCACACTTACCCCAACTCAGCTTTTGCTGTCTCCTCATAGGCCTCCCCACAAGCATTGCTTTCTTCAGTCACCGTATCCAATATGGTAGCAGCTGAGCAAGAAAGCTAAGCTGAAGCCAGGGAGTCCCAGGCAGGGCTCCTCCCCCTTGGCAGGAGGCTGATCAATTTGGCAGGGAGCTTGTAAGGACCAAAGAACACCAATATTCCCATTTTCCTTCTTGGCAGAATAAAGGAATAAGTACTTTCACAACAGGTATATAATTAAGGAGGCTGGGAAGGAAGGGGAAACAGGAGAGAAACGTCTGACGAGAAAGGAAGCCCCTCTGGAGTTCTCCCTCTAGGCTGTGAGGATGACATTGTATGGAATACTTAACTCTCTGTTCTCAACAGTTGCTACCACATTGTCAGAGCTCCACACATTTTGGTTTTGCATGGACATTATTTCTCTTCCCTAAAACTAACTATAATGATGATGATGATGATACAATAACAGTCACGTATTCCAGACTCTGTGCTAAATCCTGTACTTGATGATAATGATGGTTGTAAATAATTATGAGACTTCAGATTTTGCAGGTTACCGTGTACCAGGCAAAGTTCAAAGTGATTTATTTATTTATCCCTATATTAATACATGAGTTAGCCTGTTAATATAACAAAACTATCAGGTAGCTATTATCCTAATTAATGGATGAGGAAACTGAAGAACAGAGAGCCAGAGCATAGGTGACTTGCTCAAGGTCATGAACCTGAAAGGTATGTATTTATCCCTTAGGAAACTAATGCTCAAAAGGGTTTAGAATCTGCACAAGGTTAAAACAAATCTGCAAGACTCCAAAGCATATGCTCTTAGTCACTATCCTTAGTGAACTCTCTAGCTCTGTGGATATAGATAGATGTAGATATAGACACAGGCACGCACATGTGTGTATATATGTATGTAGGCAGATGCATGCACAACATGGAAAACCAGAGATTTGTTGTGGTCAAACAGTCATCCTGTGTTTCTATCCAAGAATCTACAACTCAGGTTCTAAATCAACATTTCTTAGTGTTCCAAGACTTGGGTGGCATGAAAAGGGAGCTTGAGGCCCCTTTTGACTCTTTTCTGCCACTTGTAAGCTGAAAGGATCAATAACTTGGCACGCCAGAAATCCACCCTGTTCAGGAAATTCTCCTAAGAGAAATAACACAGACATTTAAGCAGGAAGTGAACTGAGACCCTAACACATCTTTTCCCCTTTTGCCTCTTCCATTTCTCTGCTTCTTCACCTACAATTTCAATGTTCCCATGAATAAAAAGAAATGTTGAAGAAAGTCAAGTTCAACACACACATAGTATGACCCACCACTTGAAAGAAGCAGTGATAACTTCCCCTTGTCTTTCTTCTTCCTCCAGGAAAGCAGAGCACTAGCAACTAAAATGGAAATGTCTGGAGACCCAGAGCATCTTTGTGAACACCATTTGCCTAGAAGATTGCCAAGCTGCAGAGTCCACTCTTCCCCCAAATGAGCAGCCACTGCTGGGTAACAATACCATAATGAAAGCCTGTCTGTTAGACATGCAACTTGGGCCTGGGACTGCGCCAGGTCTCCCTCTGAGCCAAAACAGTGGAAGATGCACTGCTGGGGGCACTTTTTCTTGCAGAACAGAATAAGCATTGGCGTGGTATCGTCGAGGCAGGCGTGCTCCGGCAGAAGGGCACACTGCATGACTAGCAGCCAGTCCTCTCTGGTTTCCAGTCTTCTGTTTTGCAAATTCGAATGCACTTGCAACCATACCAGGGAGAGTGCTGCTTCATTTCTGTATTACATAAGCTTGGATGGCCCTAGGGCATCTGGGGTGTGCATTTTCTGGAGTTCAGGCTTGGAGTAAGTCCATTCCCAACATGGACTCTCTGCCCCAGAAACAGTAAAGGGAACAGCTGTCATGAGCCTTCGCTTCTTTGTCATTTTCCCCTCAATAGCCACAGAGCTAGATGCCCAGCGGACCTTGTTGCTCCTCATGCCAGATGCAATGTACATGTGTTGTCAAACTAGGATTAGTTTGTTATTTATCCTTTAATTAGGTTAAGCTTTTGAAAGCAGGGGTAATGAAGATTATGACTAGACAACGAATGAAAGAAATCACAGGGCTTACTGAGGGTACCATAGTTACCCTCAAATAGAAAGGGCAACAAGTTTGCAT